TGGGGGGGGCATCAGCAGTGTTACACTGCAAGAGGCATGCTGGAACTGAGAAGTTCCCTGGGCTTGGGCCACAGGGATGGCAGGAAGAACCCTGGTCAATTACACCGTGGGGCCCACGGAGGAGTGGCTAAAAGCAAATGAGCTATGAGACTGATGAGCTGTGAGACACTCGGCAGGTGACTTAACCTCTCGGAGCCTCCATTTCCTTCTCTGTAAAAGGATGATCAGTTTGGGTTCCCCTTGGGGCTGACCAGAGAACTGAATGAAGTTACCCATGTGAAGCACCAACTCCCAGGCCCAGGACATCTGAAACACCCCAGTTCGTATGGTGTTTCAACGCCAGGAGGCTGGGTGTTTTTCCAGCTCCTCTCCCTGCCCCTTCCCAATTTATTCTCCAGTAAACAGAAGACATTGAGAGGAGGGGACGCAGGGATAGAGAGGCCACCTGCTGACACACACACACACACACACACACACACACACACACACACACACACCCTTTAGACAGACACAGCCAAGGATACATATGTAGACATAAGCATGCAACTCATGCAAGACATATACACAGTTGTGACTCAAGACACACCGCTGGGCCCCACCCCTTGGGAAACTCATCCAGCCTCACCAGAGGCTTCTTTTAGCTGCCCCCGACTGCACCCCCAGGACCAGTTGCATCTCCTTAGAGCAGGGTGTCCATCTCTGCAGAGCCCCTGCGGCTCAGAAAGTCCACAGTCTGCAGCCAGCTGAGCCTGAGCTCTACCCTATGGCCCCAGGCCCCAGGAAAGAGGAGGTGGGGCTGAGGCAGGTGCCAGGGCCGACCCCCGCTGGGCTCCTTGGACTCACCTCGGAGTTCTCCACCACTTTCTCTAGGTACTTGTTGAAGATGGAGTAGTCCTGCAGCTTGGCGCTCAGCCGCTGGTGCTCCAGCCGCAGCGCCACCATCTCCTGCTTGCCCCTGGTCAGCTCCCGCAGGTGCTGACACCTGAGTTCTCGCTCCTTGTTGACTTTCTTCATGGCTCGGATCCGTTTCTGGTCATTCTCCTGGGTCCGGGGGAAGCAGCACTGGTCAGGAAACCTAGCCCAGTCCTCCCGGGGCCCAGGCCATCCTGGGGCTGGTGGTGCCCTCAGACCCCTCCATGTGCTCAAACCATCCTGGGAACAGGCAGAGACTACTGGGCCACCCATGGGGCAGAAGTGGGGTGAAGGAAAAGGCTCAGGGGTATTTGAAGCGGCTTGAGGAGACTTCTGTGGACTGAGGTGGGGCTCAGGGGGCTGTGGGACAGAGGTTTCATACAAGGTCAAGAGGTGGCCCTGGGGGCCGGGGGAGGGCAGACAGGAAATGGTTCTTTCCTGTGGGACTTGGGCTCTGGACTTCAGAGAGTGGACTAGGGGAGACCAGCATTGCATCGGGCTCAAGAGTCTGGAGGGAACTCAACCCCCTGAGAAGATTGAGAAAGTCTGGAAGTGGTAGCAGGAAGCCTTCTCACAAAGCTTCTGTTGTTTCTGTTCTTCCCAGTGGCCATTTTCTGTGGAGCAGAAGGACCACTCCTGGATCAGAGCTGGGAGGCGCGAATTTTCTCCTGATTCGCTGCTCAGTGCCTCCATTTTCCCAGCTGTGGAGATGGGAGGCAGGAGCCCCTCTCCCTTTCACAAGCTGGGGTAACAGGGCTGGAACTACAGGAAGATGAGCTAGGAGATGCACCTGGTGCTGTAGGGCCTGGGGATAAGGCCACTGGGAGAGCATGCGCCTAGGAGCTCAGACTTGCATCCCACTTAGGGAGGAGATGGTACAGGCAGTTCAATGCGGGAAGACAGAAGGAGGCTCAGCTACTGCATTCGATCCAATCCTGCCTCTTCTTTCTGCCAAGCCCTCCCTTAAGATTAGGGGCAAGCCCACCCCTCGCCCTGTGTGACTCCTGTCTTGCATCATCGGCTCCTGTGATTCCACATGGACGGACTTATGGAGTGTGGCACTTGGAGGCCACTGAGGAAGGTGCATGGAGGATCTGTGTGCTGCCCTGTAAGCCCAGGAGAGGGCTGAGGGGGTCTAAACCAGTGGCTTTCAAATCCACCTGCTCATCAGAACTGCCTACGGAGCTTTTTAAAAAATATAGAGGCCAGGTGTGGTGGCTCATGCCTGTAATACCCAGCACTTTGGGAGGCCGAGGCAGGTGGATCAAGAGGTCAAGACACGGAGACTGTCCCAGCCAACATGGTGAAACCCCGTCTCTACCAAAAAACACAAAAATTAGCCAAGTGTGGTGGCACTCGCCTGTAGTCCCTGCTACTTGGGAGGCTGAGGCAGGAGAATGGCTTGGACCCGGGAGGCAGAGGTTGCAGTGAGCTGAGATCGTGCCACTGTACTCCAACCTGGGTGACAGAGCAAGACTGTCTCCAAAAATGAAAAATAAAATATAAATGAATGAATGAATGAATGAATGAATACAGAAGCCTGGGCCCAACCTCAGATCTGCTGAAAGCAACAAGGAAAGCCCCGGGGGTGTGTATTTGTAGCAAATTCTCCGGGAACTGAAGCTGCTGACCCTTTGAGTACCATTTGGAGAATGGCTCACACCCAAATCTCCTCCTGCCCCAACTACTCCATACGTGCTTCTCTGGCTGCTAAGAAGAACTGGACCTCTGGAGAATGTGTCCAGTCCATGGACTTCCTGTCCCACATGGCTTAGGCAGAGAGCAGGAAGGAAGATGCTTAAGAGCGGGGCTCCTTTGTAGCAGACAGCAATCATTACCAGCTCCCAGAGCTGGATCAGGCCTTTCAGAGCTGTGTAAGTGCTAACTGGAGTGGGTCTGGATAAATCTGGATTTTCAGACAATTACATTGCTCCACTAAAGAGTGAAGTGAGAGGGGCATTTTGGAATGGACTCTGGTGCCTGGTCCTTCAACTATTCCCTGCCTGGACCTTCAGTGCAAGGACAAGGATGGAGGGGTGGGGTGGACGGAGGGACTAAAACTCTGTCTCATTCATCACTGTATTCCCCAAGTGCTGAGTCCTGACTGTAGCACATTCATTCATTCATCCATCCATCCATCCATCCATCCATGCATTCATTTACTGGATAAACTGTATGTCCTATGTACTGGAAAGGAAATAGGAAACAGCCATCTAGAGGGGGCAGAGACTGATAGGTAAATGGAAAATTACAACTGGAGACAGGTGGGGGACATAAAGGATGCCCAGGGAAGTGCCAGACAGTATAGGAGCACTAAGGATACTTTTAACTCAGGGCGAGGAGTCAGCAGAAGCAAGGAGGAGGAGCAACAGTTGACCCGACTGCTGAATGTGGATCCCCCCTGCCACTGTGGCCACCCACGCCCCTTCAAACCTGGATGAACTGCTCAAACTTCTGGATGTGAGCCTTCAGCTGGGCTTCCTTAACGCCCAGTTCCTCCCAGCGCAGGTTCAGGCTTTCCATTCTGAGCTGAAACATCTTTGGGATGGGGGTGTGGGAGCAGAGGGGTCAGGAGGGCCCCTGACATGGGTACCAAGGAAAACCCCAGCATCTCCTGCCCCAGAGGCTCCATCCTCAAGCCCAGGAGGGTCCAGAGGAGCCTCCCACTTTCCACCCCATGCCTGGCTCAGAGCAGAGGATCCCTGGACACTGGTACCCCCAAGACCCAGATCCTTTCTGTTCTTCCTGAAGAGACTAGACTGCCATAGAGGACTCCTGGCTCTAGCCACCTCACCCACACAATGGAGAGCTGTCCACGGGATCTCCCGGAGCCCCAGCCCATCCGCTCCTTCCCTGTACCTCTGCCCTCCATCCCCGAGTCCCCACCTTCTTCTTCTGCACCATAGCATGATGCATGATCTTCATCTCCTTTTTCTTCTCCAGTAGCCGGATGGATGGCGACTCCAAATCTCCCTGAACATTGGGGAACTTCCTGTCCAAGATGTGAATGCAACAGGGCTGTGTGTTCTGAGGCGGATTAGTCTGGGGCTGGGACTAACCGGTGGAGACAGGTACCTATGGGGAAGGAGGGGCCTCTCTCTCTTTCTGAGGGAAAGGGATGTTGTGTTGAGAATTATAGAGGGCCATATGGGAATAAGCTGGAGGAGAGTGACAGGGGTAGGGACCAGATGATGGGGTGGACTAGTGCCAAGGTAATTTGGGGCACTGGGTTACAGGAGAGGAGGGGACAGACAGGTTGGAAGCTGAGGCATGGGGTGGATGTGGGTGGTCCCAGGCACAGAGGGGCCAGGCCTCGGACACTCACTGCAGCATCTGCAGCAGCCGCTCCCCATACTGCAGCCTGAAGTACTCGGCCAGGTCTTCCTCCTCCATGATGCCCAGACTCATGGCGGCAGTGACCTCCCGGCCCAGGCAGCTGACTCTTCACAGTGAAATGGTGGGTAGCAGAGCCGCAGGTGGCTCAGGGGTGGTGGCTGAGCTCTTGCTTCTCCCGTCGGCCTTCAGGGTCCCACTGATGACGGTGTTTGAGACTCTGCAGAAGGTGGCTGGAGACAGGATGGGCGGCTCAGGACGATGTGCTGGGGCAGTGGGTGGAGGGGGGAGATGCGGTTACCTAGCAACAGGCTGCTTGGTTGCGTGGCCCACACGTGGAGCTCAGGCGCTGCCCTCTGCCCCCTGCTCCCATTGGTCCTCCCCTTGCTGGGGTCGTGCCCTCTGCGCCTGCTCTTTGCCCTGAGGAACCCTGGGAAGGCGTCAGGCCTGGTTAGGTGCTGGTTGCGACGGAGCCTAGGGCCAGGAGGCAACTTCGGGTGAGTGTGGCTGAAAAGGGGCGTCTGGTGGAGGAGGGGCCTTGTGTGGGCGCCCTTCTCCCGGGGCCTCTCTGGGGTTCAGGCGTGGGTGAAGGTGAGGGAGGGGCCAGGACTTGGCTGGATGGCCGTGAAGAGGAGAGAGTGAAAGGAGGCACTTAGCGGCGGCAGGGGGCTTGTCGCGCGGAGGCCCCAGGTTAGAAACCACGCCACGCGGGGAATATGCGCCAGGTGTTTTTTGTGTGTTTGTTTTGTTGCTTGTTTGCGCCGCCCTCTCCGCTCCTCTCTGTCTGGGACGGGGAGCGGGGTGGGGTGCGGTGGGCTGAGGTGGGCTAGGGCGCTCGGGCCGGGGCGTGTCAAGAGTGCAGCAAGCCCGCCCCGCCGCATTGCCGGTCGTCTGGCGCCCCCTGCTGGCCGTCCGCCGCGCCCTCCTTCCGGGCCTGGGAGGAAGAGGAGACGTGTAGGGGGTGGTGCTGCCCACCTCAGCCCTGCTCTCTTCCCACGCTCCGCCGGAGCCTCCCCTCTAGAGCGGATCGTCACACACACCTGTCGCTTCCAGCCAGCCCAGTGGGCTCATCAGAGAAAGCAGGACATCCCCCAGCCCACGCAGTACACAACCACACAATCCCCACCCCTAAACAAGAGGTGGTTCTCCACCGGAGTCCCGTAGAAAAAGGCCCAGCAGGGCGAAGATAAGACCGCCTAGAACCATTCTAAGCTCCTCGGAAGGGCATGTTTCACTGTTTATCCAGAGAGGCTGGCACAGTCAATCTGGGGTTCCCCTCCCTTTCTCTGAGGTTGTAGCTCAGTCTTGGGGCTGTGCAATGCCAGCCCTTGAGGAGGAAGCCATCTGTTTCTGAAGTCACCCGTTCTCCCTGGTATATGAGACATATCCTTGATTCTCCTTGAAATCAGGTGGTCCAGGGCCAGGTTGGTCCATAGTGGTAGCTGCTAAGACATCCTCTGCTCCGGCCCAAGTATCTTCTCCTATCTGGAAGTTCTTTCTGCTGCTTGGTTTGGTGCCTGTCATGGGAGTTTTCATGATCTTGATCCTCACACACCACCATCCCTTTCTGCCCTCCTAGGGGCTTATTCACCATCATCAGAATAGCAAAGGAAAGAACTGGCCCCCACAGTTCAATTACTTCTGCCTGGGTCTCTCCCATGACATGAGGAAATTCTGAAAGATTCCATTCAAGTTGAGATTAGAAAGTGGACACAGACAAACCATATCCAACCCTAATCTCCAATGTAATGGTACTTGGATATAGAGCCTTTGGGAGATAATTAGCTCCTAAGGATGGTGCCCTCATGATGGGTGTAGTGCCCTTATAAGAAAAGAGAGAGCTTGCCTTCTCTCCCTTTGCTGTCTGCCATGTGAGGGAACAATGGGAAGATAGCCATCTGCAAACCAGCAAGCAGACCCTCAGCAGACACTGCCTCTCCTGGCACCTTGATGTCGGGCTTCCCAGCGTCCAGAACTGTGAGAGAGAAATGTTGAAGTTTTCCAGTCTAGAATTTGTGAGAGTAGCCCAAACTAAGACACTTACCGACATGGTATATTACCAATCTCTTAAAATTTGCCAGTCTGATAGGTGAAGTGACTCGTGTATAGAGCCATTTCTTCTTCTGTGTGTCTCCTGTTCATGTGTCATGCCCATTTAAAAAAAGTTGCTTCACATTTTTATTGATTTACAGAAGGTCTTTATTCTGGAAAGTAATCCTGCATTTTTGATGCTCACTTTTCATCCTATTCCTTTTGAGTGGGCTGGTTGGATCCTCATTGGATGCAGCCAGGGACAGGAAGGCAACTAAAGCAGCAATCAATGGCAGGTGGGCCAACAGCCAGTCACCCAGACTGATTCACCAAGTCGGCAGAAGAATTAGCTTTCCCTTATTCTAGGCTTGGGATTCTCTACAAGCAGAAATGGTGCTAAACAGGGGAGGTGGGACAATATTTGGTCTGTTTACCCTGTGACTACATCATTTGGAGGTAGATAAAACAGACCTGCAGTCCCCAAGAATGTTTTTGTTTGTTTTTTTGAGACAGGGTCTTTCTCTATTGCCCAGGGTAGAGTGCAGTGGTATGATCATGGATCATGCAGCCTTGACCTCCCAGGCCCAAGCAATCCTCCCTCAGCCTCCCAAAGTGCTGAGATCACATGCATGAGCCACTGTGCCTGGCCATCCCAAGAATATTTTGAGAGCTCAGGCTCAGTGCAGACTCTTGTTAACAGCCTAAATTCATCCCATTGTAAGTTCACTCTTGGGCATTGCACAAACCCTTCTCAAATTCCTCCCAGATCTTACTTGCCTCATTTGCATGTGGTTTATGGTATTGGTGACACGAGGAAGGGTCCTAGAATGGAGGCAACCTGTAGCAATAGCTTCACGGTTCCATTTACTGGAATAGTAATTGCATTCTAGGCTCAGCCGTGCTTGTGTTTAAAAATAAGATGTTAGTCTTATGTGTCTGTCGAGCATCTCCTTAGAGTTCATTGACTTCAGTCATTTGATTTCTACTAACAAAACCCAAGATACTTCCTTCCTTTCATAAATAGTTTTACTCTATTGGCCAGACGCAGCGGCTTACACCTGTAATTCTAGCACTTTGGGAGGCCAAGGGGGACGGATCACCTGAGGTCAGGAGTTGGAGACCAGCCTGGCCAACAAAGTGAAATAGTGCCTCTTCTCAAAATAGTGAAATTAGCTGGGTGTGGTGGCAGGTGCCTGTAATCCCAGCTTCTCAGGAGGCTGAGGCAAGAGAATTGATTGAACCTGGGAGGTGGAGGTTTCTGAGCCAACATTGAGTTACTGCATTCCAGCCTAGACAATGGAGCAAGACCCAATCTCCAAAAAAAAAAAAAAAAAAAAAAAAAAAAAGGAAAAATGACTCAGCATTGTTTTCCAGAGTTAATAAATTTGTTCAAATAACTAAAACCTCATTAAACAAAAATGTTATTGGACAACAAATAAGAAATCCAGATCAGTCTGATCGCAGTCATTGTGAAGGTGAGAAAACTTCATCTTTATTGCATTTTCCTGGGCAGTGCACTGCACTGTCCTCTTTAAAACACACAGCTCCCGACTCCCTTTCAAACACACGTCCTCTTTAAAGTAACACACAAACCTTACAATACAAGGTAAAAAATGGGTAGGAATTCTCACAATTCAATAACAAACACTAAGCATCAAATAAAAATTTATTTTTACAAGAATTTAGGGTAAATGCTATCTAGCTAAAAATATAATAGACATATTATGTAACTATACTAAGTAAACACAGTGCTTCAGCAACACATGTAATAGATAAAAAGATTTAAAAATAAAACATTTAGGATAAAATAATCATCTTTTGAAAATGAAAACAGAATTCTGTTTATGTGTATATGAAAGGTATAACAGCATTACACAACTTCATAAAAACAGTGTCTTTTCCAAAATACTTGTATCTCTAAATTAGTTAAATACATGTAGTAATAATTCTATGCCCATAATTTTCAAAATAAACACATAAAATGTGTAGTGTATATTGGATATGTTAGTACATACGTAAGACATGCTAAAAATCACAACTAAATTCTCACAATTCAGTAACAAACACTAAACAGAAAATAAAAATGTCTATCTAAAAGAATGTAGAAGAACTCCCACCTAGCTATAAATATAATGGATAAGTTAGGTCAGTATCAGAGATAACAAGAGTGTTCGCTTTGGGTGCACATATGATAATAAATAAAATAATTGAAAGATGAAAGATTTAGGATAAAAATAATCCTTTCTTAAAAACGAAAACTGAATTATGTTTATGTGTTTATAACAACTATAACAACCATCACAAAACTCTATAGGAACAGCATGTTTTCAATACTACAAAATTCAAAACTGTACAAAATAAATGTAATTCTATGGCCAACATACTCAAAATAAACCAATAAAATGTATAGTGTATATTAAAATATCTCTTAAAAATTTCAAACGATTTAAAATAAACTAATAATTCTATGGCCAACATTTGGAAAATAAACCAATAAAATATGCAGTATATATTAAACTATCTCTTAAAATCCTATGGCAGTAATTTCATATTTTACAAAGAATTCTGTGAGAATCTGAGCACCTGCGCTGTGCCTCCCATGCTTGTGGAGTGTGGCAGCTAAGTCCATAGGAAACTGGCCTTACAGCTTCTAGCCCAGGGGAGGTTGGGATTCAGCAGTGTGAAAAGGGAGATCGTGCCACAGGAAGGGTTGGAACCAGAAACACCCCTGGTATCTCACATTCCCTCCACAGACTACAAGAAGTACCCTTGGCTCCTAGGAGGAAAACGTAGTCACTCTAGTCCACCCCTTCTAGAAGAGTCCAGGTTCTTTTAGATGATCTGCACAGGAAACTCTTCTCTTCTTGGTGTCTTTGGAGTCGTTGGTGTCGGGATAAACTTCGTACTGAAAATGCCCATCTCCCCTGGGCCCAGTGGTCTGGAAGTGAGAGAGAGGATATCACATTTGAAGGAGGCAGATCTCTAGACTGGAAGGTTATCTGCATCCCATGTCAGTCCTAACTAGGGTTCGGAGCAATGTATAAATGCTATTTTATCTCTAACCCTTCATTCTAAACCCTGATTCTGAAATATCATTTTCGATTCTGATACACTTTGGTGACCTTAACTCAAAAAATCACTGAATATGCCCAGAGTCACCCCCAGTGATCTGCTTCATGGCAAGGACTTCGAGGGAGTCAGCCCAGGGAGTAGAACACCCTGGGAGAACGTGGCTTTGGACTTCATCACACTTGGGGCCTTCTGGGTTGTTAAGATCTAGACTTGGAACCATGCTGCACCCGTGTCTAATATGACGACATGACGAACCACCAGACCAGATTCCTAACCCTGAATCTTAATCTCTCCTGTTGAAGTCTAATGCTTAGTCCTAAATGCAGTTAGCTGCACAAGATATAAAGCAAATCTTCAGGGAATTCTTTTCCGAAATCCGTAACTCAAGTGTGTCCATCCTAAGGAACCTCCCTAAACCTACATAGTATCCTCATTTTTGAGACAGAGTGTCACTCTGTGGCCCCGGCTGGAGTGCAGTGGCAGAATCACAGCTCACTGCAGCCCCGACCTCCCAGGCTCTGCTGTTCCCTCCAACTCAGCCTCCGGAGTGGTGGGGACTAGAGGTGCCCTCCACGATGCCCAGCTAATTTTTGTATTTTTTGTAGAGACGGGGTCTTGCCATGTTGACCAGGTTTGAAGCTGGATCAAGCAATTGGGATCCTCGGATTTTCTTTAGCTTTTACTCTGGAGGATTCAGACGTACCTTCTCTCAGGCCGATGACCTCAGGCCTCCATGTCCCGGGAGCTCTAGGAAATGAGGGTGCGATCTCGGGCCCACACCCAGTGCTCTGGGTCATAAGCCTGTATCTGGGAAAACACACACCACTTGAGAAGCCTGGGACTCCCCAGAAAGACCCCTCCCTGCACTCTTCCAGCCTCCAATCCAGCCCATCTCTCCTCACCCCCACCTCCTCCTTATGGCCACACCTACCTCCTCCATCTCCTCTGGGGAAACCCGCATCCTCCAGCTCATGGAACAGAGAAACTGGTATCGAAGCTTATGGAACAAGGGTCTCTGGGAGTGGTCCTTCCCATAGAGGAAGGAGAAGATGTCTTGTTTGGGGGCCTGATCGTCCTCCTCCATGTCACTGGCCAGGTAGCTGGGGAGAGAAATCGGGTTGCTGCTAACAGCCACCCCCAGAAGGGACCCCCGCCGGAGTTCCACTTCCCAGAGAGGAAGGCAGGGGACTGTCCTCAGCTCAGCAACCACACCCACCCTGGAGAGGGCCCTGCCTTCCTCAGCAGGCCCTGCTGGACAGAGACCTGCTGAAGGGTGCCTCTCACACCTTCAGGAAGGAGACAGTCCAAGTGGTGGCTTTAGCCTGGAATCCCAGCATTTTGGGAGTCTAGACAGGAGGATCACTGGAGGGCAGGAGTTAGAGACCAGTCTGGGTAATATAGCAAGACCCCCTCTTCATTTAAAACCAGCTCAAGTCTTATCCTAAGCATGTGTCCTGCCATCCTTACACAAGACAGGTGACATGACCTTGTCCTAGTCCCCATCCCAGTTCCTCCCCACACCCCCTTCCTTGTTATGTTTGCACACACTTGTCTCCCTCTCCATCCTAAGGGCCCCAAGGACGGGAACTGACTGGTTTGTTTCTGTTAATCATCTCTTGCCTACCAAATGGCCAATATAGGGCTTTGTTTATCTTGCTGCATTAATTCAACAAGCATTGCTGTGACCTCTCTCTTCCCATCCCCCATATTCCCTGGCACATATGATATGATGTACTTCATAAGGATTTGTTGAATAAATGAATACATGAATGAATGAAGAAAAGAAGGAAAGATTTATCTCATACCCAAATGCTGTATGAATTATTTCATGGAGTCAATATAACATAAACACTTGGAAAATGAAGGGAACTATGCTGAGTGTTTTGGGAAGACTGATATTTTGGCTGATTTTGTGGCTCATCTCTGTAATGCCAGCCCTTTGAGAGGCTGAGGTGAGAGTATTCCTTGAGTCCAGGAGTAGAAGCCTGGGTGACATAGTGAAACCTGGTCTCTACTAAAAATCATAAAAAATGGCTATATGTGGTGGCTTGCGCCTGTAGTCTCGGCTACTCAGGAGGCTGAGGGGGGAGGATCACTAGAGCCTGAAAGATAGAGGCTGCAGTGAGCTCTAATCTTGCCACTGACCTCCAGCCTTAGGGACAGAGCACATCTCTGGTAAAAATAAAAACTTTGATGTCTTGAAAAGATCCTGCCTTCAATGGAGGTCTAATGTGATGGGTTTGGGGAAAAGGAGGCAGATAAACTAATCCACAATGTCCCATTATCCCAGGAGGTAAGTGAAGTGCTGTAGGTGTGTGATGTTGGAAGATCAGGGAAGGCATCACAGAGGCTGTGAGGTTGGACTGACTTTAAGGAGTTGGTAATTCCCTTCAGATCCACATGTGTGTAGGACACCCAGACAGAAAACACCAAACCAAAACAGAGCGGTGGGCATTTGGAAGAAGCGGTGAAACCAAATAATGAAACATCAGAATGGTGGGCAGATTTGGTGCTAGAGAGATTGCAGAGAGGGTTGAATTTGCCCTGTGGACCCAGGCCTCCATTTAGAGGGAAATCAGCTAAGGAAGTGGTTCAGGTGGGCAGTGAAGCAGGGGAGCTGTGCTTTGGAAAGCTATTCGGGCAGCTCTAGGGAGCCCCCTGACTTGGGGCGGGACTTGCAGGGCAGGAAGCCCCAGCAGGGAGGATTTGAAGATGGATCCGTGTTATGCCAGGACTACCTGAATTGCGGCCTCTGTCATGGGAAGCTGGAGGAGGAGGATGGAAAATGGCATTTGATGTTGATGTAGGAAGGAGAGAGTCAGAAGAACCAGAAATGGCAGCTTGCTCGGGGAGCGGGGTCATGTCCATTTCTTTCCTTTCCCTTTAGGAGGGGTTTACGTTTCCTTTTGTTTGATTCTACTCTTTGTCAACTGCACTTGTATTTGCTTTTAGAAAGAACAGACCAAGAACGCCATAGTATAATCTTGGTAGTTTTACACACAGTGGAAAGAGGACAAATAGGGTAAAAAATAGATGGAAGTTTGGAATCCTACTTCCTCCGCTGTCCCAGGGCGTTAGATATTGGCAGGTGGGAAGAAGCAAACTACTCACAGAGCCAGGAAGAAATGAATGCGTCGGTATTGCCATGAGAAGAGGCCGGCACGGCTAAAATACGCTATGACCATTGACAGGAGATACTGATGGAGAGAAGGGAACAGAATGAAAGAGAGAGAGGTCACATCCTGGAAGAGGAAGATGGTGGAGATAAGGGAATGGGGGCAGTGGTGTGGTTGCCTGTCAGAGAGGGGACCTCCTTGTTTGGTGACTGTGCCCATTGGGGGATTGCAGGTGGAGGGGCGTTCCAAGTCGGCTGCAAATCTGGGAAGTCGGAGGAAGGGAGGTCTGTGATGCTCTGATGGGTTCATTGGAGGGAGTGTGTCTAGGGCGGCTAGTGTCAGGAGGGTCTTGGTGAGCCGGGTGATCCTGGTGCACTAATTGAACAAGCATTGCTGTGACCTCTCTCTTGCCATCCTTCATATTCCCTGGCACATAAGATGTCCTTCACATGGTTTTGTTGACTACATGAAGAGATGAATGAATGTAGAGAAGGAAAGATTTATCTTATACCTAAATGCCATATGAATTATTACATAGAGTCAATATAACATGAACACTTGCAAAATGAAAAGAATTGTGCTGAGTGTTTTAGATATACTTTGATATTTTGGCTGATTGGGAGGCTTATATGTATGTAATACCAGCACATTGAGGGGCTGAGGTCCCCAGGTTCTGAGAGGATAGGGGTCATGTGTTTCACGACTGTGGTCCGGGGCTCGCATCTCAAAGGGCCCTGAGCAGAGGCAGGGGCCACCCATCCACTATGCAAGAAGCCTGCAGAGCCCTGAGGGAGATGCTGACAGATTATAAAAAGAGCAAAAATAACTGGGAGTGGTGACTCACGCCTTGAGTCCCAGCTATTGGAGAGGCTCAGTTGGGAGGATTGCTTGAGCCCAGGAGGTTGAGGCTGCAGTGAGCTATGATTGCACCACTGCACTCCAACCTGGGCAACAGAACAAGATCCTGTCTCCAAAATATATATATGTGTGTTTGTGTGTGTGTGTGTGTGTGTGTGTGTGTGTGTGTGTGTGTGTGTGTATCAGAACTTGAGCATCCAATACAATGGGAGCAGTAGGTGGGAGATAGTAGAGGGAGAGAGGAGAGGAAGTGTTTAGAAGCTGCACCCTCCCCCAGGCCGTGTGTTAGAGCAGGAACACAGTGGAGTGGAGAACAACCTTACCTTGTCGGAAACCCTCAGATCTTTGTCCCAGGCCAGGAATTTTCGAATGACAGGATCCTCTGTGAAAAGAGAGCCTGTGTTAGGGTGAGAAGCAGAACAGGTTGTCGTGGAACCACAGAGCAGAGAGAACTGTGCCTCCCTTGGGGAAGTCTCAAAACTGTGGCCAAGGGTTTGGTGTATGGGAGAGGAGAGAAGGACTTTCACTGGGCAAGGAGGGAGGCTGCCGCTCTGAGACTCCCCTGAGGAAAGGCTAAAGGAGGCCCTGGGTGTCAGAATCTATAGGATGAGGAGATGGGATAAGCCATGATGTCCTCCCATGAGACACAAACGGACCGCTGCAGAAGTGATCATGGAATTCCCATCTTTGCTTCGGGAGACAGTCACAGCAGGGTGTGCCCATGGCCTTGTCCTCCCCTTCTATGGATGGAGACACTTAGGTTTAGAAAGTCAGCATGAGACATAGAATTTCAGAGGGTACAGCTGAAACCAAGCTTGCTTGCTTTCATTTTGTTAAAAAAATTTTGTGATAGGGTCTTTCCCTGTCAACCAGGCTGGAGTGCAGTGATGCAGTCACAGCTCATTGTGCCTTCGAATGACTGAGTTCAAGAGATCCTGCTGCCTCAACCTCCCTAAGTGCTGGGACCTCAGGCATGAGCCACTGCACCTGGCGTGAAACCAAGCTTTCTCATTTCAAGTGCAGACCTTTCTTAAGACTAGCCTCATCCTCTACCATCTCCTAAGCCTCCTTCTCCCACATGGAGAGCTCACCCACCAGGAGAACAAATTCTTCTTATTGAAAAAGTGTGATTATTGGAAATTTCCATTTTTTAAAATGAACCCAATTGGAGGTGCTCTCCGGGGTGTCCTCCTACCCAGCAGCCTGTTGAAGGCCTCATGGTGCTCAGGGAGCACCGAGGACACTCGCTTTCTCTTCAGCCTCATCTTGAGCCCATCTTCAGACAGGGTCTCCACCACCCAGGTGTCCTTGGGCTCAGGGCTGCGCTCCAAGTTCAGCTCCTCCTCCGTCTCCTCCTTGGATTCGTCTGACCATTCCGATTCGTCTGACCATTCCGATTCGTCTGACCATTCCCTCCTCTTTTTGAGGCCAAGGGCTTGAGGCCAGGGGCTGGGATCTACCCAGGGGGCTGAGTGAAGAAACCAGGCCATGGTGTAAAGTTTCTGCAACTGATGACCTTAGACCCCCGACCCTAAGGCCACATAGTACTCTTCCATCCTCCCGAACGTCGCTGTCTCTAAGCTTCTCCAAGCCGTGTCTCCACTTTTCCCTTTGCTGATCCCCATCTACCTCTCCCTCACCTCCCCATTATTCCACTTTTCTGTCCTCAAAAGGTTTCCTCATCAAAGATAAGAACTTTCAATTGGAGAAGAATGGAAACTTCACTTGAGCACTTCCTTCTCCCCTGTCATCTTTTGAGTGCATCTCCTGACCCCTGTCATTTTTCCCAGGCTTTCTTTCCATGTGGCCAAGCGGAGCCCCACTCCCTGCACCCTCCTTCCCTGAGGTGCTGAGTCCCTCATTTCTTTCCCACACACCCTACTCCAGGTGCTCCTTCCCAATCACTGGGCCCTGTCCCTCTTCTGAGTCAGTCCTCTCCCATCACTTCTCCCTCCAGTCACCTCACCTGATGGTCCTGGCACTTCATCATCCACCACCACCTGGGGAGAACACACTGTTGTACTAAGCTGGGGGCTCTGCACTTCAAACGGGGGGTGTGCTTGACCACTGGCCATGGTCTCTCCCAAAGGCTTTGTTTCTGTCCACTCAACCTAGTCTCTGTTCTGTCCAAAGCCGCCTTACAGACCCCGTTAGGACCCTGAAAAGCATGTTTCTCTTCTAGAGGCTCAGGAGAAGTCAGGAGTGAAGAACAGCTCTGAGAAGATGCTGTTATCCACCTGAGCTCCCAAGCGCCCAGAGTTCGATCTGTCCAATCAGAAAGGTTGGAATCTCTGATGTCATCGGCCTTTCCAACCTGGCAACCAGTTTGAAGAAAAACACATGTAACTGCCAGACTGATCTCTTCTCTTGGAGATCCGGGGTGAGGGGTAACTCCTGATAATGCCACAACCTCTGAGCATTGTCCAAAAGCAGTCTCAGGGTCTCCGTATTCCTCTTTTCCCTGTCCAGGCAGAGGCTGTGTCCTGTCTACTCTCAGCTGAAGGGGTGTTGGGCTCTCCTCCCTGCTGTTCCTTCCCATTTCACAGTCCGGCCTTGGGGGAGAGGGTGGAAGATGGCAAGGATATTTAGGGTAAGCAGAATGATGAGCTCTTCCAGGAGTGAGATGATCATGTCCAAGAGATCCCGGGTACATTGACTTGTTGAATGAAACCGTTACATCATAGCACTCAGTTTGGCAAAGCTTTTTTGCTAAATGTCTACAGGTATTCACCATCCTTGATCCTATACTAGGGGAACACACGACCTTTACTCTCAGGCATCTTTATGAGTCCAGGAGACACTTTGAGGACGGAAAATCATAGGAAACTGTCAGTGGGTTCACACATATTTCCAACAGTGTCCACAGTTTCAGTCCATCCATGAATCACCTAAAGTCTGCCCTTCCAGTTCAGCTAAGGAACTGTAGTCTATATATCAACAATTACAATATATAAACGTCACTTGACCCAGACATTTTCTTACCATTTATATATTCTAGGAATTAAATATCCTTTGTAAAAAAGACTAAGTGGAAAAAAATCTCAGCAAGGCACAGGTGCTCTCACTCATAATCTCAGCCCTTTGGGTGGCGGAGTCAGGAGCATCACTTGTGGTTAGGAGCTCAAGATTAGTCAGGGCAACATAGCAAGACCTCATCTCTACAAAATATCAACAAAGTAATCAGGAATCATGGCAGACCCCTGTGGTCCCAGCTACTTGGGAAGCTGAGGCAGGAGGATCCCTTAAGTCCTGATGTTTGAGGCTGCAGTGAGCTCTGATTGCACCACTGCACACAAGCCTGGATGACAGAGTGAGACACAGTGTCAAAAATATTTTTTTAAGGAGAAATAAAATATAGGAACTGGATGTCGCCTCAGATACCATTCAAAGAACTCGTGAGTTCTGGCACAGCTTCCTAATGGGCCCTGGTCTCCGAGGAGTCTCTCGCTGATAGGAAAGGCACAACTGAATGAGGAAGCAGATCCCGTCTCTGTGGAAGTCCAATAGTTAGAAATCTCTCCTCTTATTGAACTGAGCTGACATTTGCATTCATGATGATTTCAACCATCAGAGCTGGTTGGATCCTTCTGTAACAAAATAGAAAACCATCTTTCTCTCCTATTTAACAGGCTTTGAAAGGTTAGAAGATCAATATTCTGTTGTCGTTGGAGTTTCTCCTCTGTAGCAGGAAAGGTTCTGATGAATCACTCTTCAAGCCAGTTTTGCATATTCCTCTGTGTTCTAGGCACCTTCTGTAGACAGGCTATCATTGGGCAGCACCCATCTTAAATTATGTTGACACATTGTCCAAAAATGGCCCAGGTTTTATGTGATATGTTCAGGAAAAAGCAAAACTATCACTTCTCTCCTTCTGTTTTTCTCCAATAGTGCAGTTTAAAACAACACTGGCTGTAGGTATGCACCAAAAATATCATTAGAGTGAAATAGCAGGGCTTGACTGGCGGGGCATGGTGGCTCATGCCTGTCATCCCTACACTTTGGGAGGCCAAGGTGGGGAAATCACTTGAGCCCAGGATTTGGCTCAAATACTTTACACTTGAGGAAGGAGTGTAACTCAGTGACACTCCTTCCGTACAAAAAATTTTAAAATTAGGCTGATGTGGTGGCACACACTTGTAGTCCCAGTTAGTTTGGAGGCTGAGTTTGGGGGATCACTTGAGCCTAGGAGTTCCAGGCTGCAATGAGCCCCTGCACTCCTGCCTGGGTGACCAATTCAGATCCCCCAAATCCCAGCAAAGTAATTAAAAAAGGCAACAAGGAAGACAAGAGATGTGCTTTGCAAAATACCAGCCTTTCAGACTAAGGTTCTCAACTAGGAAGATTAAGATACAGATGCCAGGACCCAGCCCCATAGATTTGAATTCTAAAGGACTGAGGTGGGGGCTGTTTTAACATCATCATTGGAGTCCATTCAGTTTTGGAAGTCTCTGGGTCGGGCAGTGCAATAGATATTCCAAAGAAAGCAAAATCACTATCCAGTAAAATGAGAAAAAGAGTTTTTGAGGCGGGTAAATAAGACCTGGGCTCCACATGGGTGGGCTGTGACCAGGCTTTTTATCCTTGGCTCAGTACAACCTTCTGCACCAGCCTCCAAGCCCCCTGTGTGCTAGTCCAGAAGCCGCCTAACATTGGCTTTCACCTGTAATCCAGGCACTTTGGGAGGCCAAGGCAGGCAGATCACGAGGTGAAGAGATCGAGACCATCCTGGCCAATATGGTGAAACCCCGTCTCTACTAAAAATACAAAAAAATTAGCTGGGCGTGGTGGCACACACCTGTCATCCCAGCTACTCGGGAGGCTGAGACAGGAGAATTGCTTGAGCCCTGGAGGCAGAGGTTGCAGTGAGCTGAGGTCACGACACTGCACTGCAGCGTGGCACCTGGGGATGGAGTGAGACTCTGTCTCAAAAAAAAAAGGAATTATCACAAAACAAGAATGAGAGGGACTATCCACTGCTAGATACCAAAATGTGTTCTAAGATGAAAGTGTTGAAACGGCATGTTGCTAGTGTCACTCCAGGAAAAAATCCTCAAATGCTCTGGGCAAGTAACTTGCTCTAAGATAGGCCTGACTTTGTCTACTGCCTAAAGGTATGAAAATTCATAATTTTAAAAGACACTTCGACCAAAAGCAAAACAAGACTAAACACACATCTGAAGGTCTGAAATGGGCTACGGGGCCCTAGTTTACTATCCTTGATACAATAAACAAAATAGAAAGCTCAGGATAAACCCGAGTTTCTATAGGAATGCATTATATGCTATCATGGCATATTTCCGAGGTGAAAATGTAGAACACGCAACAAATGGTACTGGGACAACTAACTAATTATTTGGAAAAAGAAAGATACAAATCAAATTCCCGATGGAATTAATTAAATGTGAAATTAAATGTTCAATGTGAAAATTCATCATGTAGTAGGATAGCCAATGTAAATAATACTTCCCTGTTTTTTTTTTTTTTTTTTTTTTTTTTTTGCCACTGGTGAGAGAGTCTTCATCTCAGAAGTCACAAGGCTCACAAGTCATATCTGAGCCTCCGAAGAGTTTACAAGCCTAATGTACAAGTTTAAATTCCAATCCGAAGTGTAGTATCTTCCTTTTTCTGCATCCTCACTGCTGGGAACTAAATGTGCTTCCCCAAAATTCATATGTTGAAACCCTATATTAGTCTGTTTTCATGCTGCTGGTAAAGACATACCCAAGACTGGGAAGAAAAAGAGGCTGAATTGGAGTTACAGTTCCACATGGCTGGGAGGCCTCACAATCATGGCGGGAGGTGAAAAGCACTTTTATATGGCAATGGCAAGAGAAAATGAAAGAGAAGCAAAAGTGGGAACAGCTGATAAACCCATCAGATCTCCTGAGACTTATTCACTATCATGAGAATAGCACAGAACAGACCAGCCTCCCCATAATTCAATTACCTCTGCCTGTGTCCCTCCCACAAAACATGGGAATTTTGGGAGATACAATTCAAGTTGAGATTAGAATGTGGACACAGACAAACCCTATCAAACCCTAATCTCTAATGTAATGGTACTTGGATATAGAGCCTTTGTGAGGTAATTAGCTCCTAAGGGTGGTGCCCTCACAATGGGTTTAGTGCTCTTATAACAAAAACAAGAGCTTTCAGTGAGAATGTGTGTTTTAAAGTGTGTTTGCTCTCTGCCATGTGAGGGAACAATGGGAAAACAGCCATCTGCAAACCAGCAAGTAGACCCTCAGCAGACACTGCCTCTCTTGGCACCTTGATCTTGGACTTCCCAGCCTCCAGAACTATGAGAGAGAAATGTTTAAGTTTCCCGGTCTATGAGAATTTGTGAGAGCAGCCCAAACTGACTAAGACACTCACCAATATGGGTATATTAACAGTTTCTTAAAATTTGTCAGCCTGATAGGTAAAGTGACTCGTTTATATAGCCATTTCTTCCTCTGTGTGTCTCCTGTTCATGTTTGATGCACATTTTAAAAATAAAGTTGCTTTGCATTTTTATTGATTTATAGAAGGTCTTTATGTGTTCTCAGAAGTAATCCTATATTTCTGATGCCCACTTCTTTTCATCCTAATACTTTTGAATGAATTGGTTGGACCCTCACGGGATGCAGCAAGGAACAGGGAAGGATATCAGTGCAGCAATCCATGGCAGGCTGACCAATATTGAGGTACCCAGGCTGATTCACCAAGTCAGCAGAAGAATTAGGTTTCCCTTCTTTTAGGCTTGAGATTCTCTAAAAGCAGAGATGGTACTAATCAGGAGAGGTGGGGCAATAATTGTTCTGTTTACCCTGTGACTATATCATTGAGAGGTAGATA